GGACACTCCAAGAGATTTCCGGTCGCAAGTCATCCTCTCTGTAAGGGTGCAGATAAATGGTAATTACTGACCTTTTAATTTATAAATGCCCCCTTGCTGTTTCTTCAAACTTAATAAGGAAGAAAGAGAGACTCGCACAGTGTATCTCCACACAGTAGGTATTTCTGTGAGCATATAATTGCCCTTCTTTTTTTAATGAAAACACCCTTCTTTACTGAGATTTCCTCCTGTTTCTTAGACTCTGGGGTGTACTTTTTCCTGTATCTGTGCTGAGATTCAGTTGGGGGAAAAAGAAACAGAGTGATTTTAAATAGTGAGCTCTAATGCACAGACATAGGGCTTTCCAGTTGTTTTGGCTGGAAAAGGCCTTTCCATGAGGGAACGTGGCAATAAAAGAAAAATCAAACGGAACTCCCTAATTATGATTGAGAGCTACCATCATGCTTGCAAAAACTTCAGACCTGCACATCAACAAAGCTGGATCCAATATATTGCCAAAGAGTGCTGATAATACACCGCTAAAATTAGGCTAAGAACTTTCCTTTTGTTTCCGAAGGCCCTTTGTTTTTGTAAATCCATTAAATATTTTTTAATTTGATTCCCTGTGATTAAAAATAACATGAAAACTTAATTTGTCAAAGCAGGCTGGATGATTCACTACACAAAACTGTCAGTAACACTCTTCTACTGAATCTCTGAGAGAATCTGGCCATTAATGCAGTCTTAATGTGAAACAATCAATTTGTTTAATATTGTCTTTACATTTATACCTTTTGATGAAAATAGATCTAGAGAACATATTCCAGGCACTGAAAGATTTTTATGTAGTAAAAGTTAGATATCTAATTCTTACGTATTTACCAATTATAAAAAAAATACTAAAAATAACTTCCGATTAAAGAACTCTCATCAATTTAATGACTAATCGAATTCATGCACTTAAAAAAAGTAGTTTTTGATTAGTGTGCACAGATCGCATCATGCTTCAGACAGATCTTTTGAGTGCTTGGAAAGCCTTAGGTCAGAGAAAAAAATGCTGTTTGTTTCCATTTTGGAATCAGCATTTATTACAGTGCACTCTGTAAAGAAAAAAAAATTAGAACGATTACATGTTCATAAAATGTCCAAATCAATTTCATTGTTTTCCAAAAAGCATTTTACCTTTTTCAGCTGGAGACTTCCTGCGCTTCACTTCAGATCAATAACTTCTGTGCTGCTCTCTGTGAGATCACTCAGACTGAAGAGCAGTGAGGCTTTATATGTCCAAAACCATGGCTACATATGCCCTTGGGATTAGACAAAGCTTTGAGGTCTTACCACTGATCCGTGTGATTTTTGTATCACTTTTCATCCTTGATGTCTCCAGACTGGAAAAAGCACACATGCCATAATAACATCAATGCTTTGTTTTTCCAAAACAGGTTTCTCATTATAATTGTAGTTAATCAAGGTTTTAAGGATGGAACTGATCAATTATTGCTGAGGAGTACAAATATATTTGCTGGTAAGGAACATTTCATTAGATTAGTTGCGACTTTTAAAAATAAAACATCACCTCCAGACAGCTGAAGCTTTTATGTCGTCTATTTCTACTGATACAGTCTAAAAGCCCAGTGCATTCATGGCAAAAGTGGGGTACTACTGACCGTTGGTTGATCTGATGCTCGAAAAGGCCATGAACTTTTAGTTTTACACACTCAAAAATATCACATTTTATTGTTATGGTATTGTTAACATTTTCTTAAAAGCCCCCCCCTCCCCAACAGCCACCCCCCAAAAAAAATATTATTGTGTGAGAAAGAAACTGTAAAAATATGTCCTGAAACAAACATTCTAGAGCAAATGCATCATTATTTTTTGCAATCATAATAAGATTCCATCTAGATCTTTTGATGCTTAGTAGTTAAGTGATCTGAGGATTTCTGCCTACAATTAGGCAGAAGCAATAGTTTCTACTGTCAGGTCATTCTTTTGAGTCTGGGACTGATTCTTGGGTGCAATACCTTTTTTTCTGCATTATAGCTGCTAAAATTGTGTTTGGTATTCTGAATGTGTTCTTACTAGTGCATTGTGAGCACAACAGCCCTGGATTCCATTTCTACTCTTTTAACTA